TCGGAAACACGGTGGAGTTTTCCTTCTTACATCTCTCGGAAACACGGTGGAGATTTTCTTCTTACATCTCTCGGAAACACGGTGGGATTTTCTTCTTTTCCCTTTTACATCTCTCAGAAACACGGTGGAGTTTTCCTTCTTACATCTCTCACAAACATCTCTCAGTGGAGTTTTCCCAGTGGTACTTTGTGTCAACGCCCCTCTCACATTTGAATTGAAGGTGTCACTCCTAGGCTGCTCTCACCACCCTACTCAATCCATTAGGGAAGAGCGACATGATCGTTTACTTTTTGTAACAGCCAAAGTAGACAGGCATAACTGTGAATACTGTTGGTGAAATCTCACCTCGAGGGGGCCCCGGGAGATATGAGGAGCCAGGAAGGAATCTGTTAATTTACAGAGACGTCATTATCTTATATAAAAGAACTAAAATTAATATGCAAAATATGTATCTCATGCTCCCCCCCCCCACCATTAGATATCAGACATGCACAGTGGCTCCAATATTGGACGAACACGTGACATTGGCGTACGTTTAGCCATGGAATTCCTAAACAGGAAGTCGACTGTGCCACCAAATCAGTTCCATGTTGAATATTTGGTGGGTCAGCAAACAAATTGACTCATTATTAACAAAAATTATTTAGCAAAAATAAACTCAAATTTTGTTTAATGGCTGTTCAAAGTTGGATTTTCGGTTACAAGAGGAACAATAAAGCTTTAAGGGACACAACTTTGAATTGGCAATGTAATTGCTTGGACTGGCTCGCTTAGAGGGGTTAGTCTTCCCAAAAAAATGACCATTGCGTCAGGTCAAGGCACCAATACTAAGTACTCCAGTTTTGGAATTTTGAGCTCCACCCATGCAATGCAGCCATTACACGAGGGTTCTGCTTTCCTGCAGGAGGAGGACTGTTTTTGTAGGCAGATGTTGGCGGTGGAAGCCTCGAGGGATAGAAGCTTGAGGCTTTAGGACATATACCATACTGAGATTACTTATGTTGGCCTGGCATGGCAGCAACCACAGTATAGAGGACGGCAATGGAATTCTCTCCAACGTCCACCAACCTGGAGCCAACGGCATGGGCAACATGAGCAAAAATGTCTCCAGTCATTCCACAGCCCAAAGACTGGTGACTACTACAGTTCGATGTATAGCAGTAGAGCCATCTTGAATTATGTCTGAATTCTGCATGCTGTGTAAAAACTCAAGATAGCAAGTGTAGGATGATGGAACTTTAGTAACGCTAGCTTTACAGGTCCTCCAGCACTGCTACGTTTCATCATAACACTGGCACACAGCTAGCAAACAAAAAAACATTTTCCAGAAATATTTATTTTTTCAATTAAAAGAATCTCACCAAACATTTTATATATTGCCCCTTCCTTGAGACAAGCGCCATCACTAGGTATGCAAGGAATGGGGCTTCAGCTCACCTGTTCTACCCCCACTGTCTTTCCCTGGTTGCTAGGACACAGGCAGCAAGGCACAACAGCACCATTAGTTTCTAGGATGCAGCGTCATGCTTGTCCAGCTGCCTGCACCATAACAACCAATGATGCCTGTGTCCTAGCAACACTGTTCCTTTACCCTGTGCCGTCCGGCTGCCTGGGTCCGAGCAACCATGGGATGGAAAAGGGAAACTGGGTGGGAGTCCTCTAAGCTGACACAACCTCTTCCGCCAGGCACGTTCACTGAATAGAGAGAGGTAGAAACTGGCCTCAACATTAGTAACGCCCACAAATCAGGCTTCTATCAGAGGGAGGAGCACAGAAGCTGGGGAGCAAGAAATAAAGAAGGGATTTATTTTCTTCACATTTCAATACTGTTTCCTTCAGGGTATGTCCACAGGAACGTGTAAACCTGTACTAAATTTGTTAATGCTCATGAGAGTTCTTGTGTAAGATCTTGTCCAACATAAAAAGGGAAATTTGTGGAAGTTGTATATCGGGAATTGGCTGAAGTACCCATACACATCCAAAATTGTTTTTTCTTTACATCTTTTTGTTGCAATGGAGACAAATCCAGGGTCTGATATCCCAACAAGTGATGTGTCTGTGCCCTTTTCCCTTTGCTGCATCAATGTTCGATGGCACAATCCACTGAACAGCAGACGCTCCCTGTAGACCACCGGGTATTTTTTTCCTGATTCAGACCCAAATGGTTACATCATAGGCAATAGCGTGCACAAGTAGTTGAACACTGAAATGGCTTTAAATGTGGCAAAATGTATATGGCCTTTAAAAGTTTTTGAACAAAAAAAATTGTTTTCAAAACATTAATCAGCTAAATCGTCCACTGAGTGGGCGGCCAGGTGCTTGATAAGGAGGTCCTTCCGGATAAAACTTCTGCCACACTCATTGCAGCAAAATGGTTTCTCTTCTGAGTGTGTGGCTTGGTGACGCACCAGTTGCAGTTTGTCAGTAAACCGTTGTGCACACAGGTTACATGAGAATGGTTTCTCCCCGGTGTGCGTCCGCTGGTGCGCAAGAAGCACAGAGCGCTGGTTGAAGGACTTGCCGCAGATTGAGCAGCCGAAGGGTTTCTGCCCCGTGTGGATTCGCTGGTGCTTGGCAAGGTTTGACTTTGATGTATAACCTTTGCCACACTGGGGGCACACGATCAACTGTGACCCCCTGTGAACGGCTTGGTGTGAGGCGAGGTAGTGCTTCTCTCGGAAGCACTTGCCGCACTCTAGACAAGAGTAGGGTTTTTCCCCGGTGTGAATTTTTTGGTGCTTGGCAAGGTTGGATTTGCTGGTGAAGTTTTTTCCCACACAGCGGACAAGTGAACAACGGTGACCCTCGATGGTGGCTCTGGTGTTTGAAAAGTTCTGAGCGACAACTGAATACTTCTGGGCACTCGGGGCAGTTATAGGTCTTGGCATTGGGTATGGTTGGAGAAGATATAGGGTTACACTGACCTCCAAAATCTTCAACCTCTGTATCTGAGAGAGATTGACTATTTACATTGGCACAGTCTACACCTGTTGGTCCATTTTCAGAAGACTGGCATCGAGGAATGCCTTTGGGGCACTGAGGTTTCAGCTTTGGCAAGGTGGTCTTCAAGTCCTTCCCTATTTTCCCACAATTGCAGCTCCTCCTTAATCTGAACCATGGTGAACTCTAGGTCCTCACAATCATCAGCTGAGGCCTCTGTCCCTACATCACAAAGCTCCGGAGCACATAATTCATGGCGTTGGAATTTGCTGGGGTCCAAGCCTGGAGAGGAGTCTTTCTTTTGACCACTCTGTTGTGAAAATGTAGATCTCTCATTCTGTTCCGGTGATTTAGATCCTCGGTGGGGTCGGTTAATGCATTCACTCTGCTTATGGACATGAGGTAGCTTAACCTGAATGTGCAGTCCGTCGAGTTTATGTCTGCTCTTGGGATGATCTGTGGAAAGGAAATAAAGACCAGTTAGAGGGAAATTCCATACATAGAAAAACTTGGGTTTCAAGAAGTCACGACAGTCCTGGGGCCACCTAAAACCAATACAAATTCTTAAATGGTTTGTGAGGAAAAGCCAAAAGTCGCTCAACTCAGAGCTAAAAAATAACATCTCCGAATTCTGACCTAGCATCACAGAACTCGGAATAGAGATAGATAATAACTATGGTGACATTGCATTTTTGGGAACATCAAAATCCATCAAAGGAGAGGAAGCGTTGTATTCCATGTAAAGAGCTTGGTCTCCAAGCTAACCTATGGAAGCTGCCTTAACTGTCTATGAATGTTGAAGGAAAAGCCAGGAAGACAATTTCCATTCTGTCAAGGAAGCAATGTCTTTAATACAAGCAAAAGCAACAATTTTCTTACCAAGCGAGGCTGAGGGCTGCTGTTCCACTATCACCACATCTTCACAAAGATTCTCCTGGTCTTCTAAACAACCCAAAACCTACATAAATATACAGACAAGGACAATTTGACACCATATAGGAAGCTACTACGTTTAAATAGAAAAAAGGGTATAACGAGCGCTGGATAGTTTTAGAGCAAAATATAAAAGCAGCTGGCATGAAAGGCAAGCCTCCAGAACGCCTCGTGGTAAACAGTCAGGAAGCTACTAGCCTATCCTTTGCTGTTCGTAATGTAAATCTCGGCACTGCTCACCTCTCCTGTCAGCAGATGAATAATGTTATTGGCAACTTGGAGGATCTTCTTGACGTTTCTCGTCTCAGGTGTCAGAGAGGGTGGCTGAGGACCCATGATGGGGCTCTGAGTCCTGCTCCATCCACTCGATACACAGGGAAGGCTGCTGGATTTCCTCACTGCTATGTACTCCTGTATATCCAGAGACAATGTTACCTGATTATTGTCATGTGACCTCCCAGAATCCTCCTCACCTCTCCGGTCAGGTCTGTGTTTTATTAACAGAGATAAGCGTGACGTCATGTGACCTCCCAGAATTCTTCTCACCTCTCCGGTCAGGTCTGTGTTTTATTAATAGAGATAAGAGTGACGTCATGTGACCTCCCAGAATCCTCCTCACCTCTCCGGTCAGGTCTGTGTTTTATTAATAGAGATAAGAGTGACGTCATGTGACCTCCCAGAATCCTCCTCACCTCTCCGGTCAGGTCTGTGTTTTATTATTGGGAGATAAGAGTGATGTCATGTGACCTCCCAGAATCCTCCTCACCTCTCCGGTCAGCAGGTGAATGACCTCCACTGTCTGGCTTAGCATCCTCTCTGAAAAGTTCTCTTTGTCCATCTCTGGCATTCGTAGGTTCTCCACCTATACAGAAACATCAGATAAGAATGGTGACAGTAAAAACATATTTTACAAACCGGGTAGACGTCTTCTCTATCGGACTTTGGATACAATTTTTCAGCAACGCCTCAATGAAGAAACATCTGCCTATCTCCTCCAAAGAGGTGGCACCAATGCATTGTGGGCAATGGCGGGGCAAAAACTGACCCCATGTGGCTCCTGGTTGTCGAACTGTGACCTCCCACAATTGCGGCCCATCCTACTAATCAAAATTAATTATAATCTATAATAGGGCCCCTACCAATCACCCGCTACCCTTTTTCTCCTCCCCCATGTACACCTATATTGAGATACTCCTTAAAAAAAAAAACCTTCATAAAAAATGTTAACATTCTTTTTTTTAGGTGGCAAAGAAAACCGAGATCTTACATGAAAATCTCCCTTCATTCACTTCCCAGGGCTGCAAGGCACCGGAAACAGGCTGCTGAATGCAATGAAGAGCACATATCACGTGTTAGTCCTGTGTTCCATCAGGCTTCCGTGTTCCTGCCGGTTTCCGGTTTCTGCGTTCCATCCGACTTCCGGGTTCTGCGGTCCATCAGACTTCCGGGATCTGCGTTCCAGCCGGCTTTCCTGCTTGCGTTGCCACTCCCACGCTAGCCAGCAGGTGGCAGGGCAGCACCAATTAACAGGTTTGCCTGTAATGCTCTGAGTCTGATTTGTTTTACTGAGATCTAGTGGGCAATCTGCATATTGCAGGCAAATTTATAATATTGTGAATTTCAACATAAAAGTTTATTCTTAATTAAAAACTCGCCCTTCTGAGGATTCCCCCCCTCCAGAGGATTTCTCCCCTCCCCCTCTAGAGGATCCCCCCCCCAGTGGATTTCCCCCTCTAGAGGATTTCCCCACCCTCCAGAGGATTTTCCCCCCTCCCCCTCTAGAGGATTCCTCCCTCCAGAGGATTTCCCCCCTCCCCCTCTAGAGGATTCCTCCCTCTAGAGGATTTCCCCCCTCCCCCTCTATAGGATTCCCCCCACCTCCCCCTCCAGAGGATTTCCCCCCTCCCCCTCTAGAGGATTCCCCCCCCCCCAGAGGATTTCCCCCCCCCTTCCTGATCAGGACATGTTTTGTAATACGGCGCTGCGGTACTTTAACTGACAATTGCGCGATCATGCAACGCTGCACCCAAATGAAATTTAAGTCTTTTTTCCCCACGAATTGAGCTTTCGGTGGTATTTGATCGCCTGTGCGTTTTTTTTTTTCTGCTCTATAAAAAAGACCGACAATTTAGAAAAAAAAAACAATATTTTGGACTTTTTGCTATTCAACATGTCCAGTAAAAAAAAATTAAAAATTTAATTTTGTCATAAATTTCGGCCAAACTGTCTTTGCTAAAAAAAAATCCCCATACCTGTAAATGAATTGGTTTATGTGAAAGTTATAGCGTCTCTAAATGGCGGTATAGATACTGGGATTTTTTTTTTTTTTGCTAGTAATGGCGGCGATCAGCGACTTATAGCGGGACTGCGGCAGCATTCTAACACTGGGGGGGAACTGACTGGGTGTCACTGACATCCCCAGTGACACCAATACAGTGATCAGGGCTAATAAAAAGCACTGACACTGTACTAATGACACTGGGCAGGAAGGGGTTAACATCTGGGGCAATCAAAGGGTTTAACTGTGTGCGTTTCACTGTATGCATGCTGCTATGCAGAGCCATACAAAGCAGCGTGCAGGAGCTGACGGGAGAGATTTGTATGGTTTACACACAGGTCTCTCCCCCGTCAGAAATCTTCGGAGATAGTCAGGTGGCAGCGAGGAATCACCAGCTGGGACCCGGTGATTGACATCCAAGGCTGCGAATGGTGGCGCGGGGAGGGTATGCATGTACCTGTCACTGAAAAATCACAAATATATATACCAGAATGTCCCCCTGAAATGTAATTTACTGATATTGTGATTGGCTCACTGATTTTTCCAGAAGTCTGTACCAAGATACAAGTCAGATTTGGGGCATCCCCTGCAATAAAAATATACATTTTAGGTGAGATACTGCCAAAGGAAAAATCATGTCTAAAGGGATGCAGACCTTGCCGCTTTCCTCAGAGCCCTGCAGGTGCAGCAGATGATTGATAATTATGAAATGACTCCCATACAGATTCACTCCGCAAATGGACACAGAGACACAAACAGCTTTCTTCACAATAACAAAGGGTAGGAATCTGCAACAAAGTTTGCTAAATGCCTGCAATGTACAGATATCACCAATAGGGGTCCCCCCAGTGTACAGAGATCACCATGAGGGGTCCCTGCAATGTACAGAGATCACCCAGAGGGGTCCCCGCAATGTACAGAGATCACCCAGAGGGGTCCCCCCCAATGTACAGAGATTACCCAGAGGGATCACCCTAATGTACAGAGATCACCAATAGGGGTCGCCGCAATGTACAGAGATCACCAATAGGGGTCCCCCCAATGTACAGAGATCACCCAGAGGGGTCCCCCCAATGTACAGAGATCACCCAGAGGGGTCCCCCCCAATGTACAGAGATTATGCAGAGGGGTCCCCCTAATGTACAGAGATCACCAATAGGGGTCCCCGCAATGTATAGAGATCACCCAGAGGGGGTCCCCCCAATGTACAGAGATCACCAAGAGGGGTCCCCCCATGTAAAGAGATCACCCAGAGGGGTTCCCGCAATGTACAGAGATCACCCAGAGGGGTCCCCCCAATGTACAGAGATTACGCAGAGGGGTCCCCCAAATGTACAGAGATCACCAATAGGGGTCCCCGCAATGTACAGAGATCACCCAGAGGGGTCCCCCCAATGTACAGAGATCACCAAGAGGGTCCCCCCAATGTACAGAGATCACCCCAGAGGGGTCCCCCCAATGTACAGAGATCACCAATAGGGGTCCCCGCAATGTACAGAGACCACCCAGAGGGGTCCCCGCAATGTACAGACATCACCCAGAGGGGTCCCCCCAATGTACAGAGATCACCAATAGGGGTTCCTGCAATGTACAGAGATCACCAAGAGGGGTCCCCGCAATGTACAGA